AAACCTTGAATTTACACACTGTATGTTATATTAAAAAGGTGTTGATACGATGAAATAACATTAATTATTTAATACATATTTGCAGAGAGGAGGTGATAATTCTTTACTTCTTTAATCTCTATCCTTCTTTGTACTCTGGGAATTGGTGGCTTCCCTAATTATTTAATCTAACGCCCAAAACAGTGGTTCTTGATTTTTTTGTTCTTGTTTTAATATTTGGAGAGTGATAGAGTCTCTTTCATGAAACACACACACATCCCCCTACACTATGCCAAGGCATAAAAATTCAGAGAGAATAGACTCCCTAAATTCCATCCTCAGGCTTGCAATTCAACAACCCCAAATGTCGCCAGCTTTTATTTTGAAATAAAATGGATATATTTTAGACATGTACTTTTAAAAGATCAGAATTTTCTTTATTCTGGTGATGCAAGACAAATAACGGTTTTAGAACAAACAGTGTCATTACAACCACAGCATTATAATTTTCAGGAATCCACTTTTTAATTTACTTGCCCCGCAGGATCAATTTGCCTTAGGGGTTAAATTCAAAACTATAAACAGTCATTAAAACACAAAACAACCATGGTAGTTAACCGGATATTAAGAAAAAAAAAAATCACATCTGTTTTAGAGTTCTGTTCCATCCGCAAGTTTGGGGAACATCAATTTCAAGAACCTAGTTTTATGGCATGCCCTTGAGCCAAGAACACCAGGTTACAATCAAGGAAAGGAAGGTAAGACAGCCCACAAGCAGACTCTCACTAGAATATCCTGCTCCCAGGATTCTCTAATTCAAAAGCAGTCAGTAGAATTGGATTTGCTATTATCGCGAAAGAGAAATAGCCATTACTGTTTGCACATTAATAATTGTACTATTCTGATAACTGGGTAGGTTTATGAAAAGAGGAAGAAAGGAAACAAATTTTCCACACCGTGAGTCTGGTGGTGCTCTAAGTAACAAATACCAAGTTTTGGTGGCTTCTCAATATACACAGAATTTGAAGCTTGCAGAGAATCTGATTTTTCTAATTTAAGCCGTTTTTAAAACTCCAACATGTCTGAGAGTGTACATCTTAAATAACCATTTTGTAATAACTTAATCAGCCAGAAAATAAGCATAACTTTTCCAACTTTTCAAAAACACATATCCCTGGGCATCAGTGAAAACTCTTCTCTCAACGGTAAGCCTAATGAAGTGCAACTAAAAATAACAGTCATCAACTGTGGTTGTAAAGGCAATATTTCAACATAATCAAATGTGTCAAATATTCATCCTTACAGCTTCTTATGCTGTGGGTTATAAGTAAGTTTCATTTCTTGGGAATGATTGAACATAACCCACTTGGGGCTCTGCCATCTGTGAATTACTTACATGTGAATACTCTGTTTAAGAGATGGAAATTATGATTGTTTTTTTTTTCCCCTTGGATATTGGACTGAAATGCAATTGAACATGGCTTTTTAAGTAATTATTTTTCATATTAGTTGCTACATGGCTATATTATCACACACTCCCCACATTAATCATCACTTATCAAATCACAGGAATCAAGAATGGTGCAGCTGAAGTTGTGGAGGAAACATCAGGTAGAATTATGGAGTACTAGAGAATTTTCTCTAGGGGGAGAAAACTATGACATGTCCAAGGCCACATTTTCTGGGCCCAGGTCCTTGCCACAAAGAACCCCCTCTGCAGTGTGCTGATACAACAGTTGTGGTTGTTATGTTCCCATGGTTTCCTGGAAAGGCTGCTTCTCTTAGCAAACAATGAAAGTGACAATAGGGCTACACGTAGGGTAACATATAATTTATCATCCATACGTGGACACCTCTGAGAGTTAGTGAAGACACTATTAATAGTTACGCCAGAACAACAGGCACGAACCAGGACTACCCTGAGCAAACCTAATTAGATTGTCACCCAAGAGATGATGTGGAGCTCAAAGATCTTCCCCCACGGATCTCAAACCGTTTCATTAATACTATAGCCAATGTTACTGTTGTCTAGAGCTGCATTGTCCAATAAACACAGAATAAGAACCACAAATGTAATTTTAAGCTTTCTTGCAGCTATGTTAAAAAAATGGGAAAA